TTACGTTTATCTTAGATAGGTACTTTCTCCATTTTTGGGGGGAATTTTAAAAATATTTTTATAAACAATAATTTTAATGTCAGATAGGTATATAATTGGATTTCCATGTAATACCTATTACAATTAATAAGTTATTACTTTATAAGATATAGGTCTACCCTGCCGTGCTAAGCGAAAACAGGATTGTATTTGAAACAGAAAATAATGTTATTAACAATAAATCAAGTCTTAACAAAGTGAGTAGGTATATAAAAAATGTATCTAAACTTGCTCTAATATGTCTGAACACTTTTATTTAAACTTTTTTGCGTTTTTAAGGAGAAAATGTTAAATGGACTAATAAATATTGGAGTACTTACTAAGCAAATAATTGATAACTTCATAATAATATTATAGACTTACCGGATTATCGATTGGATATTTATGAATATACTTTGTCTTAGTTAATAATCATACAACATTGTTTGTATATAAAAAACCTGTAACTCCAGTTTATCAATAAAATAATTTTAAATTCCTTCAATTATTAAAAAATTATTATTAAATAATTTAAGTTTTTTTTATTAACTATAAAATTGTTGAAAATCAAAATAAAACAACCAGCATACCTTTTAATAGCATTCAACATTTAGATTTATGTATATTTTATTTTTTTAAGTAATTTATTTAATTTTATAATTTCAAAGCTTGACGACAATTTTACTAAGATAATAGTATGCAGTAGAAAGATAACATAATATACCAAAATTACCAAATACAATATTACCTAATCATTAATAATCACTTAAATTGTTATATATTACAGTAATGTATTATATTATAATTTATAATATTGTGATCACTATTGATCACTTATTGATTATTAACCTGCTGCGTCCAGCACGTGCGATCACAGTTTAAAGTTTAATAAATGATAATAATAAACTGTGATATAGCCATATTGTTAACAACATCAGTTTGGTAAATTAAAAAATAATATACCAAGTCATCATCATTTAATTTATACATTTTGACTAAAGCTTATGTCACATAAATACCCTTTTTCTGCACACAAGCCAAAAAAATGATAACTCAATTATTTTTTATGTGATATATTGATATACCGAGTTTTTGCTCTGATTTACCGTGTTTTGGCTTACAAAACATTAAATATATTGAATTTACTGCTTATTTTCTTATTTTATATTACAATTTAAGATGACATTTAATAGAAAATACGCTTTTTTTACATAAAAAAATCGGTTTAAAACCATTAACATTATCTATAAAAACAAAAATCTCAATTTTTACAAAAAATGGAGTTATCCTGTTTTTACTTAGCACGGCAGTAACCAACTATTGAACCATTGAAAAAAAAACATTTTGTTTTATACCTAGATTGATTGTTGGGAATGAAGAGAAAATAAGGTTTTGAAATAGCTGATTCGTATATTATGATTTTTTATTAAGAAATCCCAAGAAGACCAAATTCATGACGTCACATATTTTTGGCGTCAAACAAGCATAAATGCAGGAGATTGAGAAACTTATTTGCAGACAATTAGAAATAGGTAGCTGGGAGAGGGAGAAGTGGCAAATTTTATATTTGGGAGGTCTAGTCCCTTAGCCACCACCCCCCCCCAAATATTTATCAATGCAAACTATTATAAAGCACAATGAATTACCGAACAATATATTTACTATACATAAACGCTAAACTAGTTGATAAAAACAAGTGGGTCGAGATTAATCCATAGATTTTGCTTATTACCTATGTATTAAGATGGTATCAATATGATAAAGATACACTATATACGTCTATATACATATATTAAGCTTAAGATCATATTATACAAAATAATATCAATAATATACCTACATCATAATTGATAGTATTACAGCTTACACTCTACAGGTATATTATGATCTAAGTATTGAGTATTATTTTCCTAAATCATTTGTTTAGATACCTACTTCACAATTTTAATTTTAAATACAAATAATAGATCTTTTTCTGATAAACCTATGTATTTTTTAAACCATTACTTTTTAAAATTATCATCGAAAAAATATTCTTTCACATAATTAATATAAAATAAACAAAAATCATGGAATTTCACAATTTACCCTACCAACCTAATCTATACGCATATATATACAAATTATAACCACAGAATATTATTCTGTGTTATAACCATTAAATTTGATTAGATTGTGTTTGTAGACTGATAATATAAACAAGCACACATAGTTAAATGTAATCCATGTTGGTCATTACTCATGAAAAATAGTTTACCCATGGGTGTGTGTGCCAGTATTCGCTTAACAGTTCATCACAGTTTGTGTCATTTGTAAATAGCAAACAAATATTTATAAAATACTTTACTAATCCTACACATCTACTTATTATACACTTTTAAAATCGAATGAATAATTATTGTACATGTTTTTGGAACTCGCTAAATTTTGAAATTGTTATGTGTATGACAGCCGACAGGTAACATCGATTTCTATTTTCCTTAGGTACATTATAAAGTATAGATATACAAATGTCAAATATAGATACATTAAAAAGTGTTATGTGATAACTATAATAATAGTTAACAAATAACAGTGCTGTTACTGCTATTATAATATTTTATAAATTACTATAAAAATGTGCTGAATAATGTAGATTTTGAACAGCAGAAATCTATTTTAAAGCGATTATTATACGTAGGTATAGTTACATCGAATCAGCTAGACAATTATTATGTAAAGTGGTTGAACGTTTACTTAATATCTTTTGAAAAAATGCAGTCTCATTATTTTTTATTTTTATCTTAAAGGAATTGTATATTATTTAACTCACACAGTGGAGAATGGTATTATATTGTTATAGTCAAGAATACAGATATAACCTGAATAAAATCCCTATTTTTTTTTAGGTGATTACAGTCTACAATATAGTAAGATGACATGAATTATAGTAGGATGACTTCAAGAATAAAATGTTTTTTCTTCTTCAAAATACCAACCTGGTATCTTTATTAAATGTTCGGAAATTTGAAGATGAACATATTTTTTAAAGTTTTTAAATTCCGAAGGTTCTAAAATTTACATTTATTTGAACAGCTTTCCCTGTGATATTATTTTTTATGTTTAAAAAAGTTTTAATATAAGCTAATTAATATTTTAGCAAGTGGCCCACCACTCTTATCGCGGTAGCTCGCATCATTGAAATCTTAAAATTAAGAAGACAAATTAAAGATAAATGCTGGCTTCATAATTTAGTAAATTCCAAGATTGAATATTTCAATATTATCTTTAATCTCCTTAAATGCATCTTTCTCATTATGATCCACACCTACATTCTATTTCTACGTGTAAATGCAATTACTGTATTTTTTGGCTGGTGAACTGTGAATGTTAGGAAATAAACTCAAGGAATTTGATTTCTTCTTTCACTCTACCAATGATATGAAATACTGTATAAAAAAATATTAAATTTATTATACCTAATCTGACTTGTTTTATTTAATGCTATTGCATATTATTATTATGTATCTTGTATCAGATGTATCTAGTATTAACTAGTGTTGTATAAATTATTATTTATGTATACTTAATTTACTAACTGTACTCTGTGCCCATTGGGCATTTACTATTCTAAAAGAAAATTATAACCGAATCATGATTAAGATTGAGACCATTATTATAGCTCACTACCTATTGATTCATTAAATGTTTTAGTAATTGTTTATGCGACCCAGAATACTATATTAAAACTATATTATATGCCTAACTACATAGGTCTCGATAACTCGAATCTCAAGGGGAATAAAAATAATTTTGAATAATGCATTTTTCGAGTTAATACCTTAAACACATCTTAAAAATATTTCAAGGGGCAAGAAAAAAATTCGAGTAGGTATGCGAGACTCGACTGTATTATAATTCTTAATAATATAACATAAAATAGTCGTTTCCTAGTTATAATTTTTCAAATTCCATTTATATCATGCAATATGCATTACTAATAGTTGTGTTTAAAATTGAAATTGGCGCCTTTGTAAATGTCGAGTAGTTGAAACTTACTTTAGAACGGTTATTGTATGCTCTATACAAGAACGCTCAGGCGTCTAATGCTTGGTTTGATTTTGTTCTAGTCACGTCTACATAATACAGTACTGTTATAGACAGGCGCGCACCCAGAATTTTTGCTTGGGGGGGGCTTAATAATTTTTCTTTTCCCCTTACACACAAGTAAACAATTAAAACTAATTTTTAAACAACCAATTTTGTTTATTATTATCATATGTTATATAATATGTTATATTATTATGTATTTAATATTTATATAATTATATTTATAACTAAATATTATGACTAATGAATTTAAAATTTAAGTTTCCTGGGCCCCTTTTCAGAAAGAATTTTTAATACTTCGGATTCTTTAATTTGTATTTCTCGATGTATTAATTTGTGTCTCCTGAATCAATTCATGCCCTAAGTAACGCTCGAAAATTACCTTCGTTGCATTCGGGCTCTTGATCTATATTAAAAGTTCCGTAATCTCGATGTGCCCTTAGTGGTAGACATTGTCGTCCACACAAAATAATTGTTTTTATTATCGGTTTAAGTTTTTCTTGATTCTCTAAAGTCTCTTGGTGATGAAATTTGTCAATTTGTTTATCAACCGATAATATTTATCCTAACATGATATCCATAAAATGGTCAGCTTTTAAATTAGCTTCTTTATGATAATTTAAACTTCCGTGTTTTTCGAATTTTTCTAAACCTTTTTTCCAATTAGTGTACCCCTTTTTAACAAATGTATGAAGTGATTGGTTTGAACTATAACCAGCCTCAGAAGGTGAAAATAATACGCAAAATTTACAAAAAGCACTATCTTCAATTTTTGAATATGTTAACCATTTGTATTTAGTTAACCATAGTATATTAAATTTTCTTTTTTGATTGCCAATTTATTGATTAGGAAAATTATAGTTATTATCTGGGACCCACACATTTTGTAAAACTTAAATTTTTTGTTTATCGTCGAGTTTTTTATTTACAAATAATGATATATCGAAAGAAGACAAATTTTGATAATTACCAACAATATCATATGTTGACTGTGACGGTGAAGCAAAAAGTTTTTGAGGACTGGATGGTTCATTGATAGTTGACATTTTTGGTTTAATACTAACATACTTAAGAAGAGTACTACTAGTACCAACTTCAGGTTTCTTTCGTTTTTGACTCATTTTAACTCAGCTTTTTTTTTACTCATACGCACATTCGACACAGGCACACAGCCATCACAAAGAAAAAATCGAACAGACTGAATTATCTAAACGAGATTTTCATGCCACAGACAGTCGAAAGTCATAATTATCATTGTTATCGTAGTTAACAATCAAAGTCGACCGTACGTAATCGTTATAGGATCTATAAATCTAAAAATAATTTTCAACGAAATAAAAATCGACGATAGCCACCGTAGAGTATATTATTGATTGTCACAAACCTTATCGCGTAGTATTGAACTATTATATATATATATATATTAATATTATATGTGTATCTAACATAATAACAACATTTTAAAATAAAACATTATCATTTATCATTGTTATACTATAATTTCTATAATAATGTGTAATTTAATGAAAAAATATTTTTTTTTGGGGGGGGCTTAAGCCCCAAAGCCCCCCCCCCCCTTGGGTGCGCCACTGGTTATAGATCACTAATATATTATTATTTATTCGTTTATAATAAGTTATAACAATAATAATTATTGCGATATGTGTAGTTTAGAATATTGTTGAATAATAGTGAACTGAGCGTATAATAAAATATATTAATACGTATTTTTTTGAAAGAATAATTATATTTTAAAATTTATTTTAAGATTTTGATTATTAAATGAAACATAACATTGTGTAATATCAAGATTTTATAATGCCTCGTTTACATTCAGCCGATTTTCGTGGAAGTGAGCAGGGAAGTGGGTATGGAAGTGGGCAGCACGAGTAAGTGAACAGGTCACTCGCGCTGATCATGCTCCTCGCATTGTCGCTGCCCGTCGCTCCCGTCAAGAGCGGTAAATTGAGCAGTGCGAGCAGCAAGTTAACCGGCGAGCGCTGCCGGTTGGGTTGCTGCTAGAGCTGCACAATGTAAACACACTCACTGCCACGACATTGCAACAGAAGTATTTTGGGAATTAAATACGGCAGTGCGATAAGCAGCGGCAGTGGCTGAATGTAAATCGGGTATAACAGTAGGTATACGTACATTATATTTTCAATATAACCATAGATAGAGCAAATATAGTATTTGGGTAGAGTAACCTGGGGTATAATGACGCACTTAACAGCTGTTATGTGGTATCATACATGTTTTATAATTTATACTGTTATGTTGTTTTCCTATTATACATAAAATGTAGATTTCAATTTTCCAGTCAAAAGTTGATTTGACCAACAATTCTAAATAATTAGAAATTATAAAAAATGCTTTATTTTACCCCAACCAGACGTGTTTTTACCTAAATATTAATACATATCAGTATATCACTATTCACTACTTCTGTATTAGGTAGGTACTCAAAGTTTACAACAAACGAACCAAATTAATACTTTATCTCATATTGCCGTCAATACTTCATCAAATATCGATAAAATGTTTTATCACGTTTGGCTATGACAACAAAATCATAATAACAAAAAAGTTTTCCCAGATGGCAAATATTAAATTATTTATACACAATAGTTCATTTTGCCCCATTATGTGCCATATCCTAGATTACTTGAGTGAAAATCTGATTTTAAGTTTTGAACTAAATAGTATTTCTTGAATTTTATGGGACTGATAAATAAGGTTTGTCACCAGGTTTTTTTTTGAACAAGAGAAGGTGTTTTAGATTTTATTTATTGGTGACCTTGGTTGATTAGAGCGTGCATTTTTATGCATGGACACCAGTCAACTATATGTGTTCGTTAGTTTTTTTTTTAAGTAAATGTACAGGTTATTGCTACTTGGTACTAATGACTCTTAATTATCTTAATAATCTAAGACATACAATTTAAATTTGTCAACTGAAATATAAGATTATACATGTATATAGTTAAATATTGTTATAAATATGATATGACGTGTTATATTTGACTTGGTCAATTAATTTTTAGGTTTTAAGTTTTGTTAAATTATTTTTAAATGATTGTATATTTGTAGGTATTATTATAGTTTTGCAAACAAATAAACAAATAAAGAAATCAAATTTATATATCGACGATTTTTCAGGTTTTATGATAAATTTAAATCGCAACATTGTTTTTTGATATGTAGATAGATACATAAAAGAAGAATTATTTTATTTATCGAATATCTAATAAACAATCTATTAAATTATATATAATTTTTTAAGTGTTTAAAATGTGAAGCACCGGAGCAGTGCGCAGTAATAATCCGAGAGGTATATAATTATTTTCTTGTTACCTACTCACTTAGTCTACATGTTAATACAAGGTGATCTTTAGAAAAGTAAACCAGGCTAACTCAGAAAATATTCATACATGAAACATTATGTTAACTTTTAAAAGATTACTGACTACATCTTATTCTATATTATTGATTTTTTTGATTAAAATTATTTTATTCCGTTTATTCTTTTTTTAAAATAGCCTTTGACGAATACGATTATTTATCGTGAAATTTGTTCAACCGAGTCATTATAATTTATAATATAGTTACTAGTTAGTCATATTTGGAGATAATTGATATTTTCTTTAAATGAGGAAAAAATGAATAATTATTTAGTTGAAAATGTTCGCGGATAAGTCACACTAAGTCGAAAACTGACAACTAGAAATTCAAGATAAATTTAATACAACTTTTGGTGCCACTCAACACAAACCAATATAATATATTATATTAAATATTAATATAAATTATTAATTTAGTATAATATTTATTTCTTTATTATAAATTGACCATCACTGTTGTATTATAATTTATTATACTATACAATATTGTTTCCAAAATTGCACATTGTCCGTAAATTATAGTAATAATTTATTAAAAATAAATAAACTAAAATGGTTGACACATTCATATTTTTTTGGAATCCAGTTATATAAATCATTTTTTTTTTAATTATAAAAATAGGTGAATCGACTAAAATATGATTTGAAAAGAAAAACGTTCAACTCTTGTCTCCTGGTTTGTAGGCAACTTAACTACCGCTCATATCGAGTTTTAATTTTAATTTTGTTGGCGCCTATTATTATAGATATACTAAACATATTGCTTTAAAGCTTAAATAAAATATTATTATGTTTCAGAAGGGGCATTGAATAAAATAAATACTTATTTAAAATCATTTTTAAAAATGTGTATAAAATGAGTATGTAATTTGTTGACAAAATATTAAATGAGTATTTAAATTAGACATTTGTATTCATATTCAGTACTTGGTACGTATGAATAATGATTACTGAGTATAGTTTTATTATTAAAAAGAAAACACGTTTCCTAATAATTGTCATTATTTTTGTTGGTTGTTTTCTCAAATACAACATTAAGATGAAATGAGTTTTAAGCGATTAATTACACTGTACAGTATTTACAAACACAATTGACAGTTAAGTTTAATAGAATAAATTTGAATACAGAACAAGAATAATATGAAACAATGTATTTGTTATTACAATACAATAATAAGTATTTATTGCGAGTCGAGTGTTGTCTGTCTGAAAAAAAAATACCTAACATTTTAAAGCACCTTAAATTTATATTAATATTAATTATTTCTTATATAACTACAACGAGAACCTATGTACAATAATTTTGGAAAACATACTGTATTATATGGTTTACGAGGTGTTAATATTATTATACTTCTCAGTTCTCACAGCGTGTCCTCGCCGTTATGAAAGTTATGAGAATAATATTAGGCTTCAGTTTTTTTAAATTCTTATAATTATATTATTTAGACGTATATGAATACAATTATTTTTTTTTCTTAATATTTCTTCCACTTACATATACATTCAAATAATTTTCAGTGTAATATTATGATTACGAGTTAACAATAATTATAGAAATTACCATTTGATTTTTAAAAGTTAAAGCTATACTATATTATATTTAAGATAAAGAATTATATTATTTAAAATTTTATTTAAACGTCGACTTATTGTTATTGAATTGCATTATATTACAAGTTAATTTTAATACTTAAAAAATTAAAACCTAATAATTGCAATAATTTTTTTTCTATTTTATTCGAGGACACACACACCGGGATCCTCTATATATTATGATTTATGTTCGTTATACAAGTGTTTACAATTTAAAATAACTATTATATTACAATATAGTATGTTTTAATTTCAAATTCCTTGTCTAAATGTTTTGATAACATTTTTAAGCTTTATTATATTCTTTAGTTATTAATATTTACGTATTCTAAATAAACACAAACACAATTTAAATTTTTTTCAATTTAATCGCTTATTAATCTATATTTATTTTTTAATTTTTAAGATTCATATTATTATAAAGCCTTTTACGATACATCGATAGGTATACGTATATTATTTTTATTATTATAATGACTTTAACAGAGCATCCATAATTTATAGTTACTTAGCTAAAATAGGTTAGTTTTTTGTATGCTTAATTTCCCATCTAATTTTCAATAAAAACCCATATTTTATACTTATTTATAACAAGTTATAATACATTTTCATTTTTTTTCACGTTTTCACTAAAACACAAATCTTACACAAAAATAATAAACAGTTTAATAACTAATAATGTCAATCATTAGATGTAATCAGTATTTTCATGATATTTGTTCATAGATGAAATTTAAAGTACCTATGCGATATAATATGAGTTCTGGTAATTGGTAAGTGATACAATATATAATTATGTAGGTAATTTGTTTTATATATTCTTTGCCTTGATAGTGCTTGCAGGTTGACATCTTATTATTTATGAACTTTTTAATATTCATTAACCGGTTGTCGGCATTACGAAATGTTTCTTACATTATGTACAATTTTTGATAGGTACTTATTTAAATATAAATGTTCAAAATTGTTATAATATAACTAGGATTCGTCAACAATTGAATTAATGGTGCTGTGGTTCCTAGATTGATTTACTCTGTATTTATTTTATTTGCTATACATATATTTACAAAAATATAAATGAAATGATAACAAGTGTTGCTATTTTAAATTGTAATATTTTCACTGCATAGAACAAAATGTATAAGAAGTGAAACTATTCTCATAGCTATTTATGAAGACCGGATAATATTATTTTATTCAGACATAACAATCAAACTTATGAAATATGAGTAATTAATGTTATATTACTAAAAATATTAATATGTTGAAATTTAAATGCTTTGCCCATGTTTTTTATCTATAAAATTATAAAAACCATTACAAACTATATTTATTAATATACAATGAATTATAATTTGTTATTTTATTTGCATAATTACCTAATAATAAATAAATCTACTGCAAAAAGTTTATTTTTATTTAATCATAATAATTAATGATTGTTTTAACTTGTACAAGTAATAATAATATAACTAATGTACTACCAATACTTTACACTAAAATTAATATAATTAATTTTTTTCTACGCCATATAAATAATAAGTCGCATTTAATATTCTTACCCAAATATTCAATTGTAAATATTTAAAATAAAATTGCTATAGATAAAAATCGTTATTAGTACTTTCTTCTTTCACAATCTAGTACCTAGAATCTACATGTCATCTATTATTGTTTACAACAGGAGCAGCAGCAACCAACTATATAGCATCCATCTTATTCAAAATTTCGATCACTTGATTAAGTATAATTGTCTTGTGTTTTTTTTTCTACCGAAACGAGACCACCCAGAAAAACATAAATACATTACCGCCTCATTGTTCGATACAATATGATATTATACGGAGTATGGACTACTGGTATAATTCAAAATAATGTCTGTGGAGCTACATAGTAGGGGGAAACGATGATAGACGTTGGATCCACGTCGTGTAAGTATGCATTGTGTATATTATGGTGCACAAAATATGTTATAAAACTTATAACCACGAGTATCTATAGCATAACATGTTCAGTAGGGCCCATTATCTTCTTGAAGAATAAATAAAAGTAAAAATAAATAAAAATAAAATACGCGTTTTATGTCTACAATCCACCCCGTCCGTCTCAAACACATTATATTTTTTCTTCTCAATCGTTCGTCGTTTGTGTTATTATTGTTGTTGTCGTCGTGGTTGCACCGAACGTCGTCGCGCGTTTATCCCCATTGGAACGCCACTGCAGCAGCAGCAACAGCAGGTGTAAAAACTGACAAAACCTGCTGCACGACCGTCTGCGAGGAACCGGAGAGAGTCTGTGAGAGACCGAGAGCTAGTGAGAGAGTGAGAGAGAGGGAGTGACTTGGCGAGTGAGAGATGGAATGAGGGACATACCGTGAGAGAGAGAGACAGACCGAGGGCGAGAGACACGTTTTAGGTGGGAGGACCATCGAGCAATTGTACACGTTAAGACTGGGTCTCTCCACTATTCACTATTGTTCGAGACGGCCGGTTTGTCTGCCGTGTGTGCGCCGTGTATATTATTCCCGTAACGAGCGAGCTAGTGTTTGTTTTTTTGTTGTGTGATCTGCGCGTGTGTGTATGATAATATATTCTGTGTGCGTGCGCGCGCGTGTTTGAACCCCGAGTTTGTTAAATAAATATCATCGCCATCGCCCACCGCGGACGGGCTCGTCTTTGCAGGTTTGTTTTCGAAAATGTGGTAAAATCTCGACGGTCGAACACGAATTTGCAACCGGAATCGTCACCCAAAATCGTATACCTCTCGTCGAAACACAACATTATCGTGTAGTGTGTTATTGTTGTCACATCGTGGTCTAGCATCAAACACCTACGAGTCAAACGCCGACCCAAACACAACTCAACGAACATGCCTTGTTCCGCAGTCACTCTTTCGTTGGCCACCATCACGGCCATCGTGGCCACGGCTTTACTGGCAATCGCTTTTTCCACCGACAATTGGGTGTACTACGAAGTCAGAAGGAATCAAATACAAGTTAGTACTTACCTCCATGACATTGTTAATATATTCAAAATTTCAATATATGTTGCCGGGTTTATGGTAATAAACGACCAAACATAACACGGTTCTCAATCTATGTTTTAGTTTATTATATTTAGTGATTTGGTTAACTCCATCTGCATATTTTATTGAATCATATATTATAATATATAAATATTATACACTTGACGATGGTACCTGTGTAGTGGTCAGTGTGTTCGAGAGCCTATTTCATTTTGTTTACGGTTTTTAATACCTATAGGATCCGAACAATAGGCTATGAAAAATTAATCTATTCGGTTCACCATTGTTGAAAGAGAAATATTATTTATAGATTTTTATTATTCACCGATGAATACATGTGGATGAACACAAGCTGCGTGTCGTTGACTAAACCACCAGAGGTTAAGTTCCCACGAGAGCATAGGTATTGGAAAATTTAATTTCTGTTTATGCGGTGGTCTTGACTAGAGATTAATAAACATTAAACATATATCTATTTATTAAACACGAATTGGTTACGGGAGTGCGTTGTTTTTTTGATATCTCAATCGGGCAATGCCCTTCGTACACAACCACAAACCCTAAAAAAAATACTTGCGTGTCAAAAACACATTATTCTCTATAGGTGTTAATGTATTGTATATTATTATGTATTTATGTATATTCGGCGTGATTACTATATTTATTATGCATTAATGTTTTATATGGTTGTTTTGAAATGTGAACACAACAACCAACAAGACAGAAATATTTCCAAATTCGGATAGAAGGGTATTTAATTATTCGGAATATTTATAATTGTTTGAATTTTGTTGAATTGTGTCAATTGATTGCAATATTTTTAATATCTTATAATATATTATACACAAAACACATATATAAGTACTACATAACAGTAGTACACATAATATATAAGGAGAATAATTTAAGGTCAAAGACAGAAATGTTGAAAAAGTTACTAGCACGGTTTTCATCGGTAAATAGTAATCATTACATTGTGTAAAATAAAAAGATGTAAACTATATATTACAGGTAATCATAATGATAGTGGAGCAAAAACTCTATCATTATATTACTTTCCAATTAAATTATAAAATCAAATAACTTCGATATTTCTATCCACGTCAGGCTCGATTCAGTTACATTTACAGTTAGGTACCTAATTTGATCGTACCTATCGTATCTCGTTTGGGAAGTTATAATATTATAAAATATTATGCAGAAATTCAGTATATACTTATAAATGTATACGGAAATGAGTTTTTTTTTAATTCTGAAACAAACCCTAAAACCAGTTTAAATATTTTGCGTGGAATAATTTGATAGTATGGACATTTAATAATTAATAATACATTTATGGATTTCTGGTATGGAATAATACGAAACAAATTAACATTTTAGAGGAGTATTATGATCATTTGAAACGAAAATCAATAATGCTTACATCAATATCTCAAAACCTATATTAAATAAGACTTAAAAAAAAATAACGATTTATAAAATACGGTAATTCTATAAGACTTCAGATTAATATCAAACTAAATTTGGTACAACGTCTATTGGATTTAAATGTTAAAAACTAAAAAATAAGTAATAGCTAAACATTTAAAAGTAATATTATTAAAGATGGTACTTATCACCTCTATAAACGGATGATAATAATTTTAGAATGTTTCTATTTTATACATTTTGCACTAACCATCAATAATTCAATAATGATATAATCAATAACTTATATAAAATATGTAATAAAACAATGTATTTTGCAAATTCATATAAATTACAGTTTGTTAACAATTTACACGAATCTAATTTTATTTTTTGTAGTATTCAATAAAATATACATTATTTCTCGAAATATAGCTGATATTTAAAATATTAAAATTAGATAATAATTGAAATAATTTATAACGAATTTTTACAGACCGTCAGCATGACTATTGACTAATAGTTACCGAGTAAAACTAATTAATTTAAATGATAGCATATTTTTTCTTTTAAATTCTGATCCTAGTAACATTAATACATAATAATCCTAATTATTCGGCATAATGTTCATATTTTGTACCGAAAACCAGATAATATGATATAATTATTATGATTATAATATCCCATTATACGAGAGTAGTAAGTTATTAGTTCAACGCTAATAGGAGAATTTAATGGTTTTTTATGGATGTTTAATTTATGTCATTAAAAATTCAAATGTCACCGTGTGTCCACACTCCACATAATGATTTTTAAGTAATAATTAAAATAATAAACATATATCTTAGTTTAGTTAAAACAAAAATAGCTGGAAGCATTTATTTGTTTCAAGTGGACTATATAAACATTGTTAACATGCCTAAATCATAGGTAATATTTTATTGCTATAATATATTATTATAATATGATCTATACATTTTAAATATAATCATTAATTATGTAATGTAGGAAATAAATGGTTGAAACTTGAAGGTTACTTATAAGTTATAACAACTCTAATTTGTGTTAAGAAATTAATAAACGAATCCAAAACTTTTTACGAAAATATAATGTATTTATATTTTATATAAAATGCATTTATTGAGGTTACTACACTAAGACGTATGATTTCAGTCATTTAATTGGTTTCACGCTAGACGCATGTCTTACTTTATCAATTCGTGTTACTGGCCAGAACCGTATTTCGAGTTACAAATAACCGAATAAAAAAAACATTGAATGTATAATATATGACCATAAATTGGAACAAGAAATCAAAAATGTAGTATATTACCTATTTATTCGACTATTATAGATAATATTACTGAAGACCGGTAATGGTTGCAATCTGAATCAATAAGGAGTAATCATAGGAATTATTTTTTAACGTAACTTCAGCTGGCCAGTTTACAATCTCTTTCTACATTTTTCAAAATATTTTTAGAATGCAAATAATTGCGTCAGTCTCCAAACTCCAAATAGGCACGTGTATACAATTTTCCTTTAAGAAAATAAAAATATAATTTTACGTCACTGGAGAAATAATAATTGTGTAATAAACATTTTATATTATTTAAAAGATGAACGAGAAATATTTTATACATTATTTTTTTTTCGAACGGTACGGAAACATGAATAAATTAACTACTTTTTAATTAGTTTATAGTCCATAAACCTGCTTAAAGAATTATAATAATATTATATTATCTAACTAGCTCCAGTGGTAGAAAATTAGTCATCGAGTTTATTATTATATCCGTAAACATATAAATACTTAGGTATAATATTAAAGTTATTTGAAACTGGCTACGTAACTTGTAAATTCTGATATTATACGTATATTGTAATAAAATAAATTATGTTGCCGTTTATTATTATTGCTATTTGTATTTGAAGTAAATAGTTATCGACGTCCGTTTTTTTCATCGTAAAATAGTAATTTTTTCACTCTACTTTCATTTTCACTGAATACTGATAGGCGATAGTAGGCACAAGCGGGCAAACAAGTCGAAAAATTCCAACTACTTGAAATGAAAGTTTTTCCAATTACCAATAGCGTTGCCGGGGTCAATAACCTGACTGACTGGCACGTAGTTAAGTGTTGACCAGTCCGAAGAGAGTCGGGACTTTTTTCTTATAGAAAATGGTCATCATCATGTATTCCAGTAAATTTCTATCACGAATCTGGTGAGACTTATCTGCTGATCGATTATCGTTTTCGACATGGATATTATAAACGTAGAAAAATAGCGAAGGTAATGTAAAATTACGAGACAAGCTTTTTTTTTTACGCATGTTTAAGTCTTGTACCTAGTATCCACTGTTAATTGTAATGATCTGTTAAATGATTTCACCGGTACAGTTGAATAACAATATTATCGTAAATTAATTATGTAGTAGGTAAGCAATAAATTATTGTGATGATTTTATCTCGTGTTTAGACACACTTTAATGAATGCTGTTTAACGTAGGTAATGATTAAATATGTTTAATAGGGACCAAATTTCTCTAATATTACACCCTAAACTTCGTCCGCTCTATTAGATACGTTTTATTTTAATATGAGAAAAACTCTCAGCCTTACAACTCACAAGCTATAATATTGTTGAACCGTGACAATGGAAGTAGCACTCTTTAATTACTATGAATATTAAATATAATAATATTTGTATAAGAGCGAAATTATAAAAGTGAAAAGGGCGTTAGTATAAGCTGCAGTAAGGTCAAATATAACTTCTTTTTTTTTAATTTTTAATTTTAATATTCTTAAAAATAATATTACTATCGCACTCAATTGACGCTGTTGTTTTATCTACTTAGAAATTTAATTGTAACATGAATGTATTTACATTGATATGATAAAACTGCTGTGGATCACCGATAATGCGTTATTATAATATAAACACACATAGTCGTGGGCTTATAAATCTTGTTTTTATTTTCTAAATGTCGATACTTATCAGAAGTACAATTCCCGTGACCATGGTCTGAGTCATAGACAAACAATTAATATTAGCCTTTACATTAAATTTGTATGATGTATATAGTATGCGTACAAACCACAGTACAAACTACAAAATATATTGTCCAACTATTGTAGGTACGTGTGCTTAAAGGTACGGTTTCGTTAACGCAGTTGACTGCAAGCCTGGTCTGAGCACCAGTAGTCTGCAGTCAACTGCGGAAACGAAACCGTACCTTAATACGTTTTAAAAATGTGATGCATTTTTATACTCTTGTTAAATCCAAAATATAATATCGTTTCGAAGAAAGGAAAAGAAATCAAAGTATTTTATATTTTAAACGAGTGGTAAGTTGTAAGTAAAAACACGAAAAGCACCTATAATTATATATCTGACCGTATAAAGATTATATTTACATTTTACAAAAGCATAATAATAATAATATGATGTTACTGTAGAAGCTTCATGAGAATTATATTAGAGTTCTTCTCACTTTCGCGTTGTTTATTTTCTATTCTTTAAAAGGTATTAAACGATTATGCTTAGTTTTTTTCACTAGCA